CGCGAGCCTTTCAGTCATGTGTGAGGGTTCGCGTATACGTTTACATAAACCGGCGTTGGTACAGAATAACGGCTGGCATTCACTTCCTGCTATCTCGCCGAACGGCCATGTAGCCTGATCCCATTTTTGTACTTACGTAATGTCGCGCTTCTACCTGTCTAAGGCTGTCACAGCCGTCCAACGCTTGCTATTGCAGGCCTACATAATCACCACGCTCTCCTCTTACGCCATGCATGGGTGCCCGGGCCGCTGCTTCCATTGCACGTGCATAGATCGCTCGTTGTTGGGTGCCACTCGTGTTGCTACGGCAACTTGTAATCGAAAGCGTGGTGGCAACGCGGTTAGTCACGTCTATTGTTAGCGCTCCGGTGTCGTGGGAGGGACGGGCGGGATGGTGCGATGGCGTGCGGCGGGCAACCTTGAAAGCTGCGTGCCTGGGTGCATCGCTGAAGTGCGCTCTGGGCTCCGCCTCAATTGCGCAACGGGCCGCTGCTCTGCTGGCACGATTGGCAAGAACCATTGCTGTCGGCGCGCGATTTGGCTTCGTGCACAGTCGAGCCCAAAACTGCTAAGGCCTAGCTCCTCTAGTGCACGGATTGCAAACACGTTAGTTTACAAAGTGCACCCTCGCTTAAGCTGAAATGTGACAATCATCACACACTGTGTAGGGGTGTCATGGTTCGGACACTTAAGTGGCCGCAGTGCGAAGGGAAAGTAGTTAAGAGGCGATGCCATCGAGAAAATGACGCATTAGGAGCGTTCTCGTGTCATCTTGCCTTATCCTTCTCCTTTTTCTTCAGGCTATGATGATGATCATGCGTGTCAACGCGTGCATCGTTATTGCGTGCCAACGCGCAGCGACAGACAGCGTGGGCGTAGCAGCACTGTTTAACCAAGTTCGACACTCGTAGAACACTACTGCTATTTCCGAGATTGTAACAGCTGTTCTTAAAAGAAAAAAAAGACATTAGAAAAGATTTCTTTTGGACACATAAGCATCTGCTTATATGTACAGTGGAACCTCGTTTAGGATACGACACGCGTTTACGAAACACCTTTCTATTCTCTCTCCCTTTATTTCTTGCTAGCCGATTCAGGCATTTATTTTGAAAGCACTCACTTTGTTAAGTTTACATGCTAAATATCCGCTGCGAAAGTAATTGATCTCGAACGTGAACCGCCTAGTCGTCGTTCGAAACCTGCGCGACAATGTGAAATGGCGCGAAACCTGCATGCGACAGTGTAAAATATGAGTCTAATAAATAAAGAGGAATGTAGAATGAAAGAGACCTCAGTGTGCTTTTTCGGCAGGGTCACGGCAAATCGTGCAAAAATTTGTCAACACTACTTATTGCTCTCACGATGGTTGACAAGCTGAAAGTCCGTACTTTTGTTTAGTATAACCCCCCCCCCCCCCAAAAAAAAAAGAAGAAGCGAACAAAAGAAGATAACCCATTATGAACCAGCTATTGCAACACTACAGTGTTTTTTTTTCTTTCATAATGACGTCTGCTTCTGGTTTGATACCTAAAACACAAAAGAAGGTTGCATAAAAGAAATGAAAAAAAAATGCGGAGAGAGGAAACACTAACTGTGGACCTTGCAGGTATGCTACAACCGTGATGCGCACAGCTGCATATAAGCCTCAAAATGTGCCTGCGGAATTTTGAAGGGACACGCCACATGGCAATAACCTCATCAATTACAGAATGGTAAAGTGTTAATAATTTTACAACAAAATACTCTCGATTGCTCGACAAGTATAAGGAGAACACCGGGCCACTAGCAACAGGTATATTCTTGGTGGTTTGCAATAAAATTTTACTTGAAAGTTGGCGCTTGTCCTCGTTGTTCCCTTCGTCCACTGTCCACTTTCTTTGTGCTTCAGCTTTAAAAATATGGAATGTCAACTAGCCCGCTCCCACAGCTTGCGCCACTACAGCAGTTTTTCTACCTGTTCAAGCAGTATAGTGCAACTTTCGTTAATACATTTGATGTATGTACGTCGTGTAGTCACGATTTCATGGATACATATTGGGACAAAGACCTTGCTTTCTTGTCCGAGCTGAGGAGAGCATGTATATGTTTGGGTATACACATAAACAAACATTTATGCTTACTAACCTTGTTTATTTGCTCTGTCGTGGGCACGATACATCTTATCCGCCTGATCTCGGTCAAGCTTCACTAAACAAATGTGCACGTGAAGCAAAAAAGCGAGGTTCTCTGGCTTCCATCAATCGAGGATAGCTCGGCAGCTGCGTTTGCTGCGACAGTAGCTGAGTGTGTGGCTTTTCAATATTTGCTGCGTGATTCGTTTACCTCGTATAGAAAGCTGCCTCTCGTAACGCACACGTGACAATCGGATCGTTTCCGGGCTCTTTTTTTTTTTTTGCTACTAAACGTTGCTAGAACTAACACTTCTAGTGATGTACGTAAGCAGGGCGAGGTATCCATGTGCATAAAGGATGAATAACTGAGGGAGAAGAACAAGACGGAAAAAATGTATGGTTGAAGAAAGAGAGGGAGATAAGAAACAATACCTAGAGCTTTGCGTCCCAAAACCACGATATGATTATGGGAAACGCCGTTGTGAAGGACTCCGAAGCTATATCTGTGATCTGGTGTTCTTTTAACGTGCACTGGCGTGGCACAGTGCATGGGCCTCTGGCATTTCATTTCCACTGAAATGTCACCACCGTGACCGGAATCGAACCTGGGACCTTCAGGTCAGCAGCCTAGCATCGCAGCTAGTACTCCTCCGCGCGGATGAAAAGAGGGTGGACGAAAACGTAACAGAGACGATTAACAAGTTCATTGAAATTCTTGAAGCATTGTGCTACATATTCAAGAGGCGTGTTTGTTGCCATCAAGGAAATACTCGCTCGAGTAAAAAGTGTCTGTCCAGGGGATTGTGCATCATGCATAGACTATATATAGATAAATGCGTCAGTCCGCTAGCACGGTTTCCTTGTGTAAACACTCCATAGATTGAGCGTTCAAGGAATGTTATCGTCCGCGACGGCTCGCCAGGGTTGCAGTAACCGCGCTTCGTCAGCGTCTGCGAACGGTTGGGTGCGGCCCATGTGGAGACAGTACTTCATCCGTATAGTGTTCATCCAAGCGATATCTTCAAGCTTATTTTCCACTGAGTATGTGGGGTGTTGGAGATACAGGGGGCCGTAATAATAAATCTTGTTTGTTTCCCAGAAAATGTTCTCTCTTCTTTTTTCATTCGTAAAGTCGGTTACACTATGACCTGTCGCGTGTACCGTTCGTCGTGACATGCTTCTTCTTCTTCTTCTTCTTCTTCTTCTTCTTCTTCTTCTTCTTCTTCTTCTTCTTCTTCTTCTTCTTTTCTTTTTTTTCTTTTTTTTTTTTTCTTTTTTTTCTTTTTTTTTTCTTTTTTTTTTTTTTTTCTTTTTTTTCTTTTTTTTCTTTTTTTTCTTTTTTTTTCTTTTTTTTTTCTTTTTTTTCTTTTTTTTCTTTTTTTTTCTTTTTTTTTCTTTTTTTTCTTTTTTTTCTTTCTTTTCTTTTTTTCTTTTTTTTCTTTTTTTTCTTTTTTTTTCTTTTTTTTTCTTTTTTTTCTTTTTTTTTCTTTTTTTCTTCTTCTTCAAACGTACTGCGCAGCTTTCCTCACTCTTTCATCGCACCCATAGCCAAGTAGAACTTGAATAGCAGTAGTTATAGTGATCGAAATTTCGCCTTGTCCCTAAAATTTCTTACTCTAAGTCGATCAGAGAAGACGCTAACATAGTTTCCGTCAATAGAAGCAAGCAACTAGGCGAGCAGCATCGAATAGCGAGTGACCTGTGGTCGTATTTTCTATCATTTAATTTCATTTTTATTGTTTTTCCTTTTCTTTCACTGACTAAAACGTTTTCCTCGAATGGTGCCGTTGTCACTGGCATCAGCACCGTTACGCCGCCTGATAAGTAAATAGCAATGGAAGATAAACGTGCAATATTTCACGATGGCTTGTAAATCTTACTCGTAGCCAAAGCTGCAGCCCCGACGGGATAGTGCACCTTGAAAGTGTGCAACCTATTTCGAGTTATCGAGCGTTGCCAACCCGATAACCCGGGGAGGATGCTCTGTTATTTTTTATTTACTTTTCTTTTTTGCCTGCGGAAATCACATTGCTGACTCTCGGCATATAAAACTGGCAAATGATAACGTTATCGTTTTTTTTTCAGGACGCCTAAAGATAGCGAATCTCTAAGCAATAATAAGCAAATGCTTTTCTAGCGACGTCATCCATAAAGTTCAGTACATGTCTATTACAATAAAAAGGTGCCTTTCCGCGCGATTTTCCACTGCGGCTCGTTTTTTGAAGTCCTCTTGATTTACTTGGAAGAAACATTAACTTTATGCATTTCGCTTATCCATGATGCCAGTGCATCTATTCCAGCGTAATAGTCCACTTTGGTAGAACAGTGGGTATATGATGCTCGGCAGCTGAGCCGAAGGTCGTGGGTTTGATACCGGCCGTGGCGGTTGCATTTTTATGGAGGGGAAATGTTAGGTACCCGTGTACTGTGCGATTTCAGTGCACGTTAGAGAACACCAGATGGCCCAAACTTCCCGAGCCCTCAGTGAGGGCGTCTTTCATAACTGTATCGTGTTTTATAACTATATCATAACTATATCTTTCGTAACTATATCGTTTTTCGATTATCAGTAATCGAAAACTTGAGATAAAACGAACTGAAACCTCGGTAAAATATCATTTCGACCTATTCATGCTGTGTAAGATAGGCGTCTCCTTTCTTGGAATGATTTTAGGCTGCATTGTCTATTGACTCAATAAGTACGAATGCACAAAAAAGCGTGATTTTTTTAAATAAATAAATAAATAATGAAATAAATAAACAAGTAAATCTCTTCTATTGCAAAACTTGAACGTTTAAGTGTGAATATTACACCACGAAAACAAAAAGTGCTTACAAAGGTACTAAATTTGTGAAATGACCAGTGACGTCAAACGTTTGCTCCTGCAGGTGTTCGGGACCATCTGCCTCGGTCTTATGCTGCACTACACCAAGCACAGCAAGGTGGACTTGTATGGCATGCCGGGCCATGAGCTCTACTTTCTGCTTGTGGCGTTCGGCTGCCTGCTCTGCACCTTCCTGTTGCTGGTCTCTTCCTGCTGGTCCTTCACATCGTCGTCTCTCCTGTCGCGCACCTCCTTTGTGAGTGTCACCACGTTAGTGCTGTGGTTTTGCTTCCACCATATTTGCTACCGCGAATGAAGCGGGAAAAGTTTCGCCTATAGTGAAAGATGACATTTCGTACTGAAGGAAAGATGTGTAAGTCGATGAAACGTGTCATCGTACGATCTCCTCGAGTTGCTCTTAGCGACGCTTCCCGTACTGAGAACGGAGGACGTTCAGCGCCTGCATTGTCTGGCGATGACAATGCAGTTTTGTAGATATAGTTAGCACGTTTGAAATGCTTCCTCTTGTAGATCGGCCGCCTTTTGTTCCTTATTGACCCTATTTATGACTATTTAGCTGTAATGAGGCTGCGATCTTAACCATGCTGAAGCCGCAGGCCACCAACCCGAGGTGAGCGCCAGACCCGTGACACGGCCGGCCCATACATACCCGCATGAACGCTTACCGAACTTGCCACCGATTCTGTAACACGAGCTCGTCACTATGCAGATGGTAGCTGCAGACCTTGATAGTGGTGGCGTTCCCATACTTTCACAATGCTGACATCTAGAGTTGTGCACGGGTCGCTTTTTTTGAGCCGTAGACAGGTCCAGGCCCGCTGATTGAGTCGAAGGCTCGACCGAGGCCGAAACTAAAAGGTTGCGAGCCCGCCCGTCCCAGCCCGGCGTACGTAGAAAAGCAAAAACCCAAGCCCGACCCAGTCCACCCGACATTATGAAGGCTTGTTGGAGGGGAAGATGTTTTTCGATGATGTGTTATTTTAGACAACATATGAAATTGAAAACATAGACATGACAGGTGCAATTAACAGCGATTACAAGTTGTAGTTTAAAAGGAAGAAGCTGTTCAGTGATTCGAGCTTTAGTGCCCGAAGTGTGGCGCTATACGGGATCAGATATTCCACCAAACGGAAGTTATGTTCAATACTCGCACTGGTAGCCGAAATTGCTAATAAATTTATCGCAAGCCTACCAAGCTTGGGATATTTAGACTTCTTGTCTTCTAGAAGGGAAGTATATTTCAAACTCTGGACGAAGGATGATTTAATGGTTAGATATTCGCAAACCTCATCTGGCGTGCTCATTGCGGTCTGCTGTAAAGCAATTCCGGCTCAATATCTCTATTTTTGTCATCATTCTAGCTTTGCACTTGGCCTCGGCCAGCTGGCCCGGGCACGGCGAAAAAAAGCGTCGGCCTGCCCGAGTCCAGCCCTTCCGGGCCGGGCGCTGAAATTCAGGCTACCCGTGCATACATCGAAGGCGTCCTATAGTGCAAGTTATTCGTTGGGGGACTGAGTAACGTTATGGATGCTATATCGTGAAATTTTCGCAAGAAGTGAACTATAGTCACACAGGTTGATTTTTCTGTAATGTAGCCATTCTTCGTTAGGAAAATCAGTAAAACTGAATGATTGATTGATTCATTCGTTCGTTCATTGATCTTGCGCACATTCGCAGGAGATTCTGTTCCACCTGGTGGCGTGCGCCCTGTACCTGGCGGCTGGTATCACGCTGCTGACCAAAACGCTCGACTATCACCGTAACTTCCGTGGCGAGCAGTACGACGCCCGCATAGCGGCCGCCGTAAGTACATGCCGTACCGCCGTTAACACTGCTTGCATATCTCTAAACACTGATGACGCTGATTCCCTCTCTGGCAGAGTGTTTACATTAAGAGTAGGCGTCATGCTTCTTTGGTGATTGATTTCAGGAATATGTTGAATGAGAACGACGAGAAAGGATCAGGGAGGCACAGTGGCCGATGCCTTCTTACGGGCATAATAGGAATTCGCACGTGTATCACTGCAAGTTACAAAGCGGTGACAGATAGCTTGTGAACTATTTGACATGTTAAGCTTATTTTGCGAACACATTTGCGGAGAAGGGGGGGGGGGGGGGGGGGCTGGTTGTGCAGTTGTTGCGTAGTGTGTTGGCACATCTGACAGGTTTTATAGGATCAAGCTAGATGCGCAGCTTTTATAATGCGTGTTGTCAATATAGTTCTTTCTTAGTAGCTCATTATTTTTGGCGTTTTGCCCCTCTAGAACAGCCGCCACGTTCAATTTTTTTTTACATGTGGCTCGCTACATTGAGCGAGCGATCCGCTCTGATGTCGTCTTTGCTTCGCAGGTTTTCGGCATCATGAACGGGGCCCTGTACTTGGTCGGCGCCGTCCTGTCGTTCCGGATTTTCCGACAGGGCTGACCATGCTCGGCTGGTCTGGGCGTGGCCCGATTGCCACGAGCTTCTCTTGGCTTTGACGTTAAACGCACTAGCCGCTCTCTGTTCACTCATACTCATCTTAGCATCATTGTTGCTCTGTGTACCCGAGCACGGCGGAGTCATTCTCGTCTCCGCGTATGTGTCATGTATCGTTTGTGCTTAGAGGCCAGTTTGCGTGCACGTGTTTGTGCTGCACATTTTAGAACGCACAGCGTCCTCGCGGCACTCGGTGTCGTCATTGTCGTCTTTTTTGTCGTGTTCGATGATAAACAAGGAGGCTTCCTTGTTTTGCATCGGCTCACTGAGTCGCTCGCACATGCACACACACACACAGACAATGTTCTGTTTCGGTGTTCACTGCCAGTTACTAATTAAGTTACTAATTTTGGTGCAACTTGAAGTGGAAAGTCATTAGGAGTTGACTGTTGAAATGTATGCAACCCAGCGATGTCCTGTTCATGCCACGAATTAAGATGGCAGAGCGCTCTACGTCCCCCTGGTGCTTAAAAGTGCCAAAGTTGTACGCTCTGCGCTAAACGCCCAATCAGGTAGACGTTAATACCTCATCACGCACAAGTGTTAGCCGAACTGTAAAAATCATTTTTGCAATGACGAAAAATGTATAGAACATTCGTGTACCCTATCAGAAGGCAACCGAAACAGTGTAATATCTACAACACGCAGCATGCAATAAGACAATAGACCCATATGCCTGCAGCGAGCACAGGTGTGCTTAATGTTTTGCTTGTGTTACAGAGGTTATCCGTACGTTCTTTGCCTGTAGCGCCTCTCCTGTTTTCTGCAGCACTCTTTTAGCGAGATTTTGTTGTTGTGTTTCTTTCATGCAATATTAAAAGAAAGTATATTTAACTCTTGAATTCACTAGCGATCTCCTTGTTGCCACCGACTTTTGGTGCAATCAAAGACCGAAGGTGGCCAAACAGGTAAAAGGAAAGAAAAGATAAAGAAACCGTGCGTGTATTTAGAATTGGGTTAAGAAATAAAACAAGCTGTCTAAAAAAATGTCTGACAGAGTTTTCGACCTCTTGATTTCTCAAGTTCTTATCACAGTTTTCTTTTTAAAAATTTCTAGTAATACTTGGGGTATGTTGCACGGATATGAGAACTCATTTTTAATTTTTTGCATGGCCGTCTGACACAATGATGTTGCGCACATTGGAGACAATGGCAATTAACCGGCAGAAGATAGCGAGAGTGATTCCTCACTTTTTATTATCACTCCATGGCATGCAGTGACAATGACTCGTGTGACACAACGTACATGAACTCTGCTCTTATTGCTGCGCAAAACTAGAATGGCAACGCTTGATAATTACTATTGTTGTTCTTGTCAAAACGATGTTGTTCTGAAAGCCCGTATGGCGTGCGCCTAAAAATGTGTTATGTTAGGTCACTCATGCAAGCAAAATTTGTCGCGTTTCGTGCCTTCCATCTGCCAAGCGACGTTATTGAAAAGAAAGAAAAACAAAGAAAAAAAATCTCATATGAATACGTGTTTAGCTACTAAACTGCCTTCTATACAGTCACCTTGGTAACTTAAAGCATTTCGCGCTTGTTGTTTACCGCTTTTCGTAGACAAATGATGGCGCACCAGTACTTGCCGTTGGCCAAAGTCCGTCCACGCGTAAAGCACTGCCTTATTCGAAGGTGCATTCGCCGCTCTGGTTATCATAGTAGATGTATCTGTGCCACGGGCCTGTTACTGGTTGTGATCTGTGTCATTGCGAAGAAGGCGGCACCGATTCGAAAGAGACAGGCAGAATGTGATTTACGGCAATCGTTTTATAGGCGGTTTTGTGGCGTTTGGGGTCGCGCAGAAACTTGCCCACTCAATTTTACGCGCTTGTAGTGTGTTCGCTCCCCCCCCCCCCCTCTCTTTTTTTTTTTGCTAAATATGTTGCGATAAGTTGCGGCTGATGCTTTGCCGAACTGTTAAATTTTCACCAGCTATTGAAAAAAAAAAACTTTCCACGTCGAAATACAAGGTTTGCACCTTCGAATATATACTGAAAAAATGAGTTCGACATGAAGCTGAGCCATTTGGGTCAGTTTCAGCGAAATGATAAAAAGGTGGTTCAGTTGGTAGTTCATATTCTTTCAGCGCACAGTTATTTGTCAGCCGGACTAGCGTAACTTGATAACGGGTCTTTCTGCACAGTAGATTGAGAATAATTGCAGTTATGAGAAAATTCTGCGACAGCGCACAAGAAAATGTCTAAGAAAGTAACTTATGAAGTAGATTCAAAAGGTTAAGAAAGAAAAACACACTTCACTAGACTTAGTGGTGCTATTCTTAACATAACAAGAAAAGGAAAGCAAATCTAATGAGGATGGAGCTTTTCGAAGAAGAAAAGTGTTACCCATGGCCAAAAGGTTTTTTTTTTTTTTTGTCGCGCGTCCACTTCACATCCACCTGGTCCTAGCATACATCTTAACAGACAGCACTAAATGTGTAGTACATGGCGATGGTGTACTTTGCTTTGATTAGAAGTCAAAGCTAGCGGTGCTGCATTCTTTTTAGACAGCCTAACGTGGACAATCAGGATGCGCCTATCGATTGAAGCAATCTCGGAATTAGAAGCTTCAGAACTTCGGCAGACGAGCAGCTCTGATTATACAACTGACGAATGTAGTCCACAATATTCTGCGCAATAAACGTTTTAATGGGCTCTACGTCTTTAGCAGTCATTGCGTTGTGAGTTTCCGCACCGTCCCGCTTTTACATCCCTATTTCCCATCGCCATCCCCGTTGTGAGAAAAAAAAAATGCGTTGGCCAATATATGTATATTTCTTGTGTGTTTTCATGTAGCGAACAATAACCGACGCATACCTTGTATCCGCACACTATATAGGGTGCAACCACGTGTACAAGCTTTCGTCGACCTCTCGTGTATCGCCGATGTGCCTAATAAACTTTGACGTATTATCTGCCTGTCCCCTTCTTCTTATTCTCTGCTCGGGCTTTTCTTTTCTGAGGGCACCCGGAGCAGTGTTGTTATTCCTTCCTGTTGCCGCGAATGGGACGCAGCCTCGGCGGTCAGCGAAGAGTGCATTGCACAGCTGTCCGCGTCGCGTGGAGTCGACCGTCACGTGCAGCCCTTGACTGGCTCCTCGGCGTGTTCTACATCGTGCCCCTTGTTTGTATTTCGTTCAGCTCAACCTACAAGCCGCTGTGCCTCCCCCCCCCCTTTTTTTTCTGCACCCCAGAGACGCCAGTCTCGCCGCTGTGTGGAGCTCATTGAACTGCCCTCGTAACCAATGGAATCAATTTTTAGCATCTGGCAGACAGACCTGTTCTTTCGGCTTCGTGTACATATCCCGCGTAAGCGCGGCATCTTAGCGGCGGGGCGGACGCGCCTACGAGTCGCTTCTGCAGTATGTATACCGAAGACTAACATTGCCGCGGTGGCTCACGTGAAATCTCAATGCCACAAGATATTTGCCCGCGGCCCAGGGCGATTCGTCTTTGGAGCGCGCGGCGCAACAGGTGGTGAAGCCAGCGTAATAGGATTTGTTTGTGTTAAGCGCTGGAGAACATTCGTTTTCTTTCCTCTAAAATGCTTCATTGTGGTTTTCGGTGCTCCGTAGAGTTTTCTAAAATGCACACCACATAGTTTCCTTAGATTAACTAGAGCGGGCTATGGCGCTGTGATCGTTCAGCCACCATTGGAATGGTAAATAGCACACACAAGGGGGTGATCACGAGAGCACCCAAACGTAAGCCGATAGATAGATAGATAGATAGATAGATAGATAGATAGATAGATAGATAGATAGATAGATAGATAGATAGATAGATAGATAGATAGATAGATAGATAGATAGATAGATAGATGGATGGATGGATAGATGGATGGATGGATAGATAGATAGATAGATAGATAGATAGATAGATAGATAGATGGATAGATAGATAGATAGATGGATGGATGGATGGATGGATGGATGGATGGATGGATGGATGGATGGATGGATGGATGGATGGATGGATGGATGGATGGATGGATGGATGGACGGACGGACGGACGGACGGACGGACGGACGGACGGACGGACGGACGCCGAAATGGCTTGCAGTACGCAAAAAATGATTCGCATTTAAAAGAGTGGTTGAGGAGGAGAGCATTGATACCTGCGGGCCAGCATGGTGCCCTCATGCTGGCTGGTGCCCTCATGCCAGCATGAGGGCACCAAGTCACAGCGAGCGTCACAACAGGGGTGATCTGTACAATATCGGAGCGATAAAAGCAGGGTACAGAGAAAAATAAAGCGTGGACCACACTGAAGAAAGCTTGCATAAACATAAATCGCAGAATGAAGATGTTCATAAGTAGCCTTTGAAGAGAGAGAAACAGAGAGAGAAGTTTTAATGAGATAAAGAAAAATAATGTGAGCATCACCCTAGCGTAATTCACTCCAAGCTATATATGTAAAGATGGGATTCGTAGGAAGGACAGATTTCCAGAAAATGGGAAGGTGATATATTAAGGATATGCCTAAATATATGACCATGGTATCTCTCGCAGACTTTGTGGTTATTGTGTGACTTGAGCGTGCATACTTCACGGCCTATGGAAAATGGAGGAGCAGGGTTCTAGTGAAGGGTATAGTCAGAAAATCTTAGTCGAGAGTTCGACGGAATGCCGTCTGGTCAGGTAAAGGCATTGTTGAATAAAACAGGTCACTGACCAATGTTTGTGAACAAGGGATCTGTACGGGTTCCGAAACGTCATTGTTTTGTTTGACATTGGTCAGTGACCTGTTTTATTCAACAGTCAGAAAATCTGTCGATTGCACATGCGATTTACATGACTATTTTTGTCATATAGGAAGGGTGGAAGGAAACTAAGAAACAAAGGCATAAAGCTCGACCAGAAAAGTGTCCGGCTGGTTTCGTTACTCTGGGAGAATGGCAAAGATGAGCATAAATGAGAAAAAGGGGAGGAAGCGAAAGAAGGAAATGATCAGTGAAATCGCTGATGCCTTCGATTGCACTATGGGTTTGAGGCGTTCGCACAAGCTTGTCGTTCTCAAGAAGCCAAATAGTGTTTCCCTGCCTTGTGCGCCGTCGAGCGATGCTGACGGTCTCTGAGCAGCACCAGCACAGAGAAGGGCCGATCGTTCCGTCATGGAAACGCGTAAGAAAGTGTTTGTCTTTCAGAGATAAAGCGAGGTCAGTAACATGCTTTCAAGGGTGCCGCAGTTCACGCATAGGAGCCTGTTTTAAAGACGATACTGTGTCTGTCTGTCTGTCTGTCTGTCAGTCCACCCTTAATCAACCCAAATGGCACCAAACAATACCCAAAATGACCGACCTCATCCGCAGCGCCCACCAATATTGCTAGAGGTTTAGTGTTCATACTTGTGCGATTGTCAATTAAAAAGCAATTATTGCGAATATCTGTGTCATTATAGCAACACGTCAATATTCTGTATGTGTGTATTTTTACTAGAAAAAGCATACATAAGTAATTCTAAGGACCGTAGCGTTTATCACGTTGCGCTGAGAATGCAACGCTTGCACGAAAAGGCAAGTGTTTCCAACGCTTTGCTAAGACGACAAGGTGGTGGCACCTACATGTCGCCTTGCGTTCTACACCTTATCGCCTCCGAGACGGGCACGCACACCACGTGCTTCGTTTTCCAAGATGACTGTCAGATAGCGCTCATGTCTCACGTGTGACGTGACTTGATATGCTCGTTCGCCTCCACTGCGCGCTCGGAGCACTCTAACACAGCGCCTCCAGAATACCAATCACCAATTTTCTTGCGCAGAACATCAAATATAAGTTTTTGTTCACTCTCTCCAGACACGTCGTCTTTCGACGACATTTGCAGTGTTACGTGCAGATACAGGGTAAATTTTTTCATAGGAGTTACTTTATAGGAGTTAAAGATACTTGTCACAGCATCATTGAGAGGATAAAGTTCGACAATGGCGCCTAGCAGCCCTCATGTTCTGCAAGTTGAGGCTCGAACTATATATCTGTCGGAGAAGAATCAACAGCTCCGATAGCGAGTCTTCGTGTCTCTGGGCACGTCCACAGATTACAAACCTTTTCAACAGATAAAGGACGCCTATGCAGAGCTGACTGCAGTGGCTGTGCTCGGCCTGTCGTTTACGCTGATGCTCGATGCTCGTATGCTCTATATGCACGATACTTGCAAACGCTGGTGACTGTCGGTTTCACGCAGTCCGAATGAGACAACTATAGTGAAGGTGTTATTTGTTAGCAGGGGAATACTGGCATGTGACAACGAAGAAATAATTTTTCTCGACCACTGCACAGATATTGACAAAACTTGCCACATAAAAAGTGAAAAGATGATTCCTAATGGCTTCACGAATATGCCTTGAATTAAACGCATACTGCAAACACTCATGCTCGAAAAATTACGAAAATTTTAAAAGCTCTTGACACTGTAATTACAACTCTTTATTTCGGCGATAAAAAATATTAGGGTAGGTGCGCACTGAGAGTTTCAAGCAGAGTTGCCGTTGGTGGCTACTTTCCGACCCCGTCTGGTGACAAAAAGTTCATGTTGGTGCCATGAATACTTTCTGGCTGTTTTGAACTTATATTTCGGTTCATTTACTGGTCACTTCTCCGTTTTGTTTGAAGATAAAACAGAATGCAGGTCTAAGTATTAATGATTATTTGAAACCTTTTTTTGCCGAGTTGGTCTATATGCACGCACAAGCTATTGTCCCGCCTGCGGGCTAGTGCGCTGTTAGGAATTTTGCTCTGTCGCGATGGTAGCGGTGGCGAAGAGCGGCGAGCCGTCGAGCGGACTTCGATGAAGCCTTAGCCCGAAGGTGAAACAGGGAGGCAATCCGTTTGGAAAACAGCAACAAAAGGAGCGTTTACTGTAGCAGGTTGTCGTTTTTACAGAGCCGGCCAGCACGACAACATCGGCTGGGGCAAAATCTCCTAACATGGGGCCGGCTTGGCCTTAAATAGCGTCTTTGGTCCATTCTCTCAGACCAGTTCTCGGGCTCGGAGGGGGAGACGTAGCCATACCCGGAACTGCAAAGTGGTTCGGCGGAGGGAAACGACGTTATCCCCGGGACTGCACGGTTCTCCTGCACAGAAGGCGGCGCTGGGAGGGGGGGGGGGGTGGGAGACAGTTTTTCGAAACAGGGCTCGATCTTGTGAGACGTGCTCCCGAACGAGGAACATGTCTGTGGCACAACAGCACCCCCGCCGCCAGACAATGCATCCGGAGTTTTGAGCCGTCAGCGCGGCTCGGAAGGAGGGATGCTGGTTGACTGTCGATACTGTAGCCACTCCGTGGTGATCTTCAGAGCCCTGCAGGGAATCACTGGAACGACGGAGTTGAACGCAAAGCCAAACCACTTTCGTGGAAGCAAGCACCCTCTGAACGTCTCTCATAGCGCCAGACCAAGGCAGCAAAGAGATCTATTGAGTCTCTACTATTGTACGTTTTAAAAAGCACGAGAAACGTATCCCTTAGAAACCTCAAAACACTGGCCCTCACGAATGCTGTGATTACACTGCGCAGTCCCGATGCCAAGAAAGGCCACGCGAAACCATCCCCAATGCCATACGAGCGGGTCGGAACCCGCTGAAGCAGCCCAAAACCAATTCTGTGCAATTTTTTTTGAACAATTTTACCAGAATGGTAGAGGCTGGGCTTCCTGGTAACATATCAGAGTACACTTCAAACAAAATTACATCTGTTAGTGCAATGCGACATTGTTGATACAGTTTGTATCAAAACAAAATAATAGACGCCAAAATTATGCAAAACACGTCAAACCAGAAGGATGTGCCTCAACTTGTATGAGGGGTGTGGCCGCTTGGGCTAGTTGGTATGGCATGACGATAGTTATAGCGCGAGAACAAAACGACGACACAGAGACAAGAAGGACACGAAAGACACGAGCGCTAACTTCCAACTGAGGGAGCTGGGCTGCACTTCAATAAGCTCTGCTGAGACCATCTGCATTTGTGTGCAGCTTCCCTTTCTTATAGCGCACACTAACGTTATGGTGCTGAAGCGTCAAGCTCCACCTAAGTAAACGACCGCTTTTAGACGACATGTTGTGCTACCAAGTCAAGGGGCAGTGATCAGTTTCTACTATCCCTGAGACGTAACATGCTAGCTTACCAATTGCCCAAACAAGGCAGGCGCACTCTTTTTCTGAAGTGCTGTAAGCTTCCTCTCTGACACTGAGCTTTCTGCTGAGATAAAAAACTGGCCGCTCGTGCCCTTCGGCGTCCTTTCGGCACAAAACTGCTCCTAGGCCGCGGTCACTGGCATCACACTGAATAATAAAACTCTGAGAAAAGTCCGGTGCCGCTAGCACGGGTCGTTTTGCGAGAGCGCTCTTGAGGCTCTTGAAAGCATTCTCTTTTCTTTTGTCCCACGAAATGACGGTGGGCTCGGTTTTGCGGAGAGAGTCCGTCAGCGGACTAGCGAGGTTTGAGTAACCTTTGACGTAGTGTTGATAATACCCCGCCAGTCCCAAAAACGCCCTCAATTCCGACTTTGTGGTGGGACGACGATACTCTAAAACGGCCGCACCTTTCAGCTCGGACGGGCTACGCTGGCCACGACCCACGATGTGGCCGAGATAACTTACGCTTGCGCACCCTAAGTGGCATTTCTGCGCTATCACGGTGAGGCCTGCATCACGTAGTCGAGCCAGAACGGTCCTCAAGTGAGTCACATGCTCGACCCACGTATCAGAGAATATCGCCACATCATCGAGATACGGCAGGGCGAAATCTCCTAAACCCCGCAACACCCGATCCATGAGGTTTGAGAAGCAGTAGGGAGCAGCATTCTTTAAGCCGAAAGCAAGCATTAAAGGGCGAAATGTTCCCAATGGGGAAATGAATGCGGCATAACGAGAGGCTCGCTCCGTCAACGGGACCTGCCAGTATCCCCGTACCAGATCTAAGAGGGAGATATATGTGGATTTTGCCACGGTTTCTACTCTCTCCTCGATATTAGGTATCGGATACGTCTGATCTAAAGTGATCTTATTTAGCCGGCGGTAGTCCACGCATGGCCTAGGGTCTTTTCCCGGAACCTCGACTAGTATGAGTGGGGAGGTGTAATCGCTTTCACCTGGAATGATGACCCCCAAGTCACACATGCGGCGTATCTCGGCTTCCATGATCTCTCTTTGCCTCGGCGATACGCGGTAAGCCTTGCTAGAGATCGGTTCTTCACTTGATAACTGAATATCATGCTCTACCAAAGAGGTTTTCCCTGGTTTGTCGCAAAACACGTCTGCGTAGTCTCTAACTACTTTCGTGAGATCATCACGCTGACTCTCCGTGAGACTTTGCTCTTCGGCAATAAGCTGTACGAGCCTGTTAGCTGGCGCGTCGCTTTCACGTGGAAAACTTAAGAGGTCGGTCTCCACTTCGTTCGCCGCATTCAGTGTCATGTTAACCACGGCATGGCGCTGGATGTAAGGCTTCATTAAATTACTGTGGTAAACCTTACCTTTCTTTCGGCCCAGTTTTACCTCGTAGTTTGTATCTGAAAGCTTGGACATTACTTTAGCTGGCCCTTCCCACTGCATGTCCATTTTTTTCTTTTTACACTGTGGTAGCAGCATTACCTGGTCGCCGATGTTGAACGTGCGCTTCCGGGACAACTTATCGTAGTAAGTCTTCGCTAAACTCTGAGCCGCCTTCATGTTTTCCTCAACTAGCTCTCTGGTTTTAGATAGCCTTTCCAACAGATCTAAAACGTAGCTGACTACGCGTGGGTCTGCTTCATATCCTTCCCACGAGTCTCTCAATAGCCGAAATGGAGATCTTAAGTTTCTTCCATAGACAAGCTCGGCGGGACTGAATCCCGTTGTCTCGTGGGGAGCGGACCGTATGGCGAACAGGGCCGCGGGTATGCATGCCTCCCAATCTTTGTTATGTTCAAAGCAAAGAGCTCTCAGAACTCGCTTGAGTACAGCATGCATCCTCTCCACGGGGTTAGACTGTGGATGTCCTATAGAGCTGTGGATTATTTTTATTCCACAGCGTTCAAAAAACGCTGTTGTGAGACAACTGGTAAATACGCTCCCATTGTCACTCTGAATCTCGGCTGGAAAGCCAACGCGAGCAAAAATGGACAAAAGTGCGTCCACAATGCAGGGAGAGGTGAGCTCTTTTAGCGGAACTGCTTCGGAAAATTTCGTTCCCACGCACAAAACAGTTAAAATGTAGCGGCAACCGGAACGGGACTCTGGAAGGGGGCCAACAATATCAATTACGAGCCTCCGGAACGGCTCTGTGATAACAGGCACTAATCTCATCGGGGACTTCCGTTTGTCAGTAGATTTTCCTACTCTCTGACACGTGTCGCACGATCGCACGAAGTTTTCTACATCTTTCCAGCATCCAGGCCAATACAAATCCTGTGCGAGCCTCGCCTTTGTTTTCTTGATGCCAAGGTGGCCCGCCCAGGCATTTCCGTGTGCCAGTTCTAAAAACTGTCGTCGGTACTTCTCTGGCACTAGAAGCTGGTCGAACGTTCTACCCTCAGCGTCCCGATACTTTCGATACATGAGCCCTGCCTTCGTGTAGAATGAGATGTTCTTTCGGGCTACTCCTTCTTTCCCGTTATGCTGCAGATTCTTAATGGTATCATCACTTGCCTGCGCAGTGACGAGTGTGTTTCTGTCTACTTTACTGAGCTCTTCCCAACAAGTGGATGTTGGACCAAACAGGGACGACTGAACGCTCTCCTGAAGCGCCCTGCTTTCATCCACCTCCACAGGCTCGTCGCGTTCGGCAGCCAATACCGTATCCGGAGCCCTACTGTCTTCGATGTCCTGTGATACACTAGTCGCCTCTTGGCCCGAGTCTGCCTGGGGAGTTGTCTCCCGCTCGACCGCCTCCTCGTTCGAAACCGAGACCTGAAGTCTCCCCGCGAGAGCGCGGGACCGCGATCGCGTGAGTGCCATGCACGCGAGGGGAGATGAAAATGACTGGCCCTTTTCTTTAAGGAGCTGCTCTGATTTGTTGGAAAAAAGGTACGGAAAATCTTGGGGCAAATGAGGGCTCACGGCCGCCTCAGTGCGCAATTTTCCAAAACTTCCCTCTAGAACAACCGCAGCATTTGGCAAACAGGCACTTTGCTCTTCTGCAACCTGTCTGATCCAGGCGCATTCGCCAGTATAGTCGCCAGGGGAGATGCAAGATGGGTGTGCTATGTCCATCGTCACAGCTGAATCACGGAGTGCCCGGCATTTCTTTCCGTTGACCACAATTTCGCGCATGTAAGGCTCGAGTAACTTCAAGTTCTCGTCCGACTCGCGAATGCCAGCGAAAACAAACTTTTGCTTACAGCTAGATGAGATATGACCCTCCTTTTTACAATTGTAGCATACAATTGGTCGTTTTGATTCAAAAGCTCGAGCGGTGTCGACGCGTTCCCTCGCACTTGCTGTCGACTCAGGTGCCTCTCCTGGCTTTCTCCTTTCCCTCTGATTGTTAGTCGCTCCCTGACTGAATTCGTCACGCGGCGGAGCCATCTTTTGTGCTGCATTTTGAGCAGCAAGCCGCCTTGAGGAGTCCCTCTTCTCTTTTGTATCCTCGCGATCCAACTGAAAATTCCTTCGCGTATAATACTCATCAGCTAGCTCAGCAGCTTTATCAATGTCTTTTCCCTTCATTCTGTCCTGAAGCCAGAGTCTGGCATCTTCAGGCAACACACGATAGAATTGCTCGAGGGCCACACAATCAATCACCCTGACGTGGTTACCGTAAGCATCCGCACTTCTAAGCCATTCTTTCAAATTAGACTTAAGCTGGTACACGAACTCTGTGCATGATTCACTGCCCCTTTTTGCTTGCCGAAATCGCTGCCGAAATGCCTCGGCAGACAAGCGGTACTTACGAAGGAGGGCCGCTTTGACCTTAGCGTAGTCGTCAGAGTCTTCTTTAGACAACCGTGCGATTACTTCCGCGGCCTCTCCCGGAATGACTGACAGAAGCTTCTGGGACCAGACACCCTCATTTATCCCAATTTTCTCGCACGTGCGCTCAAAGTTCACTAAAAAAGCGCGATGTCTCCACCCGTCCTAAACGGCAGAATCAAATCTTGGATTTTCTGTCTTGGCATTTCGTCTGCCAGGGATAGCGAACTAGACTGCGCCGATGTTATGCGAAGTTGATCAAGTTCCAGCTCTTTCATTCTAAGAGCATGTTGACGCTCTTCTCGCCTTTTACGCTCCTCAGCCTCCTCGCGTTCGCGTTTTTGACGCTCCTCAGCCTCCCGCTGTTTTTCTTTAATTGTCTCCATAGCCTCTTCTACCTCCTCTTCAGTTATTCCTTCCGCTCTCATGACATCAAGAATATTTCTTTTACGGCTCGTCCTAGCAACAGAAACACCCAGCTGCTCACAAACATCGAGAAGGTCCCTCACTCTGAGCTTCTCCATTGTGTACCGCAACTCGTGCACGTTCCTTTCTGAAATAGCTTTGTCTTAGAAGCTATATTCTTCGACGTGAAGCAAGTCGAGAACCAGCCAAGCACTAGCCACCTAAAGATCTAAAAGAACATACTTGGCTACTCTGTGCTAACAGGGTCTGACGACAAAAGACGAACGTCAGGCACTCACCCAACTAGAGCGGGTGACTTCGGCCATCTGGTCGTTGCCGTCGATCTGTGTCGTGGGTGTCCTCGGGCCTGCCAAGATCCGCTCCAACTTTCCAGCCGTAGAGGTCGGTGTAGTGGGTCCCAGGGCAGCAAAACGATATCACGGTGGTCGTGCTCGAGCTTCCAGGGGTCTGATCCGGCGTGCCAAACGTAGGATATCGTATCCCGTAGCTGCCAACCACTGTTATGAATTTTGCTCTGTCGCGATGGTAGCGGTGGCGAAGAGCGGCGAGCCGTCGAGCGGACTTCGATGAAGCCTTAGCCCGAAGGTGAAACAGGGAGGCAATCCGTTTGGAAAACAGCAACAAAAGGAGCGTTTACTGTAGCAGGTTGTCGTTTTTACAGAGCCGGCCAGCACGACAACGTCGGCTGGGGCAAAATCTCCTAACATGGGGCCGGCTTGGCCTTAAATAGCGTCTTTGGTCCATTCTCTCAGACCAGTTCTCGGGCTCGGAGGGGGAGACGTAGCCATACCCGGAACTGCAAAGTGGTTCGGCGGAGGAAACGACGTTATCCCCGGGACTGCATGGTTCTCCTGCACAGAAGGCGGCGCTGGGAGGGGGGGGGGGAGACAGTTCGTCGAAACAGGGCTCGATCTTGTGAGACGTGCTCCCGAACGAGGAACATGTCTGTGGCACAACAGCGCATAAAGGCACCCAAAGAGCATGCCTCCGTCTTAGACGAAGGTACGCGTGCATGCCAGGAAACACGTGAATATATAGCCCACTGCTGATTCCCGAATCCCTTGGTGAAACACTGCGACATCAATGAGATATCAGCAGCAAAATGAAGCTATATCGGTCATCTTCGATCACATTTCGCTGTTTGAAGATGTACTGGTATTATTGTAACTCTATACCAAACACAGTCTACAGCTTCAAGGAAGAAAAAAAAACAACGTTTGAGGTTCATTCTGTGTGGTTAGCCCAAATCGCAAGAACTCTTTTGTAGACAATTTTATTATTACAAAACAGGTAAACTGTCGAATATGCAGGCGCACTGAAAGTATTTAGTATTTGCAACTCACCTATGGCTTGGAGACCGAGCAGGAAAAAAAATATTGTGCTCGTTATACACTGTTCTTAAGTTATTCAAAAATAATATTTACTGTTGAATGCTAATAACGATATACGTAATATGATTTTTTTTCCTTGTTGTGCTACAAATTTGGCACAAAAATAAATGCGATGGGCACTTTGGCTACTTTGACCTGACGTTTCACTCATTTTCAAATATGCCCACCGGCAACCCTGCTGCCAAGCCCGATGAAACAGCGGAGCTGGGTCGCCTTCCTTATTATATCGGCCAGACGTATACCCTATAGAGATTATATAGAGACAGTTAAGCGTAGATATAGCAGCATGAGCATAAAAGAATGGAAGTGAAGCTTGGAAAAGCCAAGTTGAGCCTATAAGCCATGCTGTGGCTTTTTCTATCTCTTTCATTATCTCTATTTTTTTTGTTTTTCTGTTATATCCCTCTGTTTCTTTTTTTATCGCATTCTAATTCTTTAACATTTTCTAGTTTTCTCGCCCATAGCAACGTAATCGCATGGTTCCCTTAAATGTATATTCTGCTCAGCGTGCTTAGATAACCGAATGGTTACGACGCTCGCCTTCCCACCATGGGTACCCGCGTTCGAATCCCGCCTCGCCAAAAAATTTATTTTGTTTTGTTTATTTCTTCTCCTCTCCATTTATCTCCTCCGCCTCTTCTTCATCCTATGCGTTGCTAGGCGATGCATGGTGACATCATCCCTCAACGAGGTATTTCTGCGCACATCGAACGGCCTTACCACCAGATTAAACAGCGTTGCTGTTAAAAAAAAATATGTCATTTAGAAAACTACACCCAAAGCGGTGCACCATGTGCTATACGCACCACTCTGTAATATTTAGGAAACCTGTGATTCGGCCTTTGCAAAAGCATGGTGAAAAATGGAAAAGCAATGTAGACTGTAAACTTCCGTGTCACATTTGTCCACTTTGTATCCTCTCGCAGACGCAGTTTTGCAAATCCTTGACGTCATCTTCCTGTTACGGATTCATAGAAATTTAGCTAGCTATTTTTATCCAACTTTTGAACAACAAAGCTGAAGCCTCAAATCAGAGGTAAGTTTTCTATTAATCCCAGAAAATGAAAAAAAAAAGATTGCGAGAACAATTTTCATTCAAACTGGCTCAATAGTTTCCTCATGTACATATAGGCATTTTGCATATATTTGGACATCAAAATCAACATTACTAATACGACCCACTGGATCACTGGACTTGGACCAAAGGTAGGATCATTGAGTTGTCGCTCGTGTATACATTAGTCGAGTCAACATAAAGAGGCTATAGACAGCGCGATTTCCGCGGATGCGAGGTGCTGTGAAAAATACAACCTAGGCTATTTTCTTTCTTTCTTTTTTTTCTCCCAAATATAAATGGTTACCGTTCCGGTTTTATCTTGCCTTTACATTGCCCGTAAGAAGCAAAAGAAAAGGTTCCGGCTGCTCCGCAGTTTCGTGCAGTATGCATGGACAGTCAGCGACATTAGACAGGGATGTACAGTCAGGGACCTTAGTCAGGCAGAGGTAATCTGCCTTTAGTCCCTTCAACCTAGGCAATCATTGTTTTTGTCTGAATAAACAGTGAATGAATGAATGAATGAAAAAAAGGTAAATTAAAACCATACCATTATCTTGTTATATCAAAAATAATAATAATAATAATTATCGTCTTCCAGTAGTGGGAGGCCAAGATCGTCCTCGAGGACCTGGAAGTCCATGCGACAACTCGCCGCCAGAGCCAAGAGGGCAGTCGAAGCCAGAGGGTTCCTGGACTAGGGAACCATCCCACTTTAGGGTGACAACGGGCCTCGCTCGGAACACTGTTTTCTAAATAATCGTTTATTTCTCTCTCTCTTCTAGTACGTAATATAGCACCGAATATTTTTTCAAGCACGAGCAGAATGAGACCAATCTCAAGGAGAAAACATTTGGGTACAAATTTTTGTTCCATTAGGCGCAGTGTTTTCCGGTAGCCCGTGGTGGGCAGATGCAAACTATCGCAACATGACAGCTTTTTTGTTTTCCTACCTAGTGCTTTCGCTGGACTAGCTGGGCAGTCGTTCCTAGTACAACATTTACGACATCTGTGCAGGATACTCCTCACCTCTGCGGTAAACGGTGCCCAGCGGCGTGGTGCGATTCGTGTGGTGCGTATCTTTAGAAGACCAGTGAGGAGGTTCATAGTGCACGAATAAAGTACTTATTACACAGCGTAGACAGTCTGCTAAACCACGTCCAGACACTTTTCGGATCATGCGCACCGTATATTTTCGTATTCAATTGACAAATACTGTATACAGCGCAAGAAAACAAGGACAAAGGCAAGGGTGACACGAGACGTGCAGGGCTAGTCATCGCCTTCATCCAACAGCTATGATGGACGGGACAACGGCAACAGGCATCGCTAACCAGAGAAACAGAGCACGGACACAACAGTATCATCTCATATGGCAATGGAATCCTAACGGCATACAAAAGAGAAAAGTATCGTTACAGCAGTACATACAGCAAAGCACTAAAAGACCCGACGTTATGATACTGCAAGAAACGCACAGTGAAACCCCACCGACGCTACCGGAGTACAAATCCTTTGTGAAGCCCCCCCCCCCCCCCCCCCCATGCATGAACAGCTAGAAAAGGCGCAGGACAGCGGCTCTGCACCTTGGTAAAAAAGAATCTAAGCTCAATGGATGACGACCTGCTACCCAATGGAGCCATAGCACACCACGGTCGAAATCGTCACCGGAAAGCACAAGCGCCATGAAAGCATTTTTATAATCAACGCAAGAGAGAAAAATGGCGTTCGCGAACGGTCGATGCCCGCGGGCCTTCAGAAAGGCGTTGTCGCCATCCACAATCTTACCACAGTCGCGTTGTTGGCGATCAAGGCTTGAGCGGTTACGGCAAAAGTGTTTTAGGGGCGAAGCTCCTTAGGGTGTGGGTCTGTCCATCCTCCGATGGTGTATGTAGCCACCGGTGGTACATACCCGAAAGAGTGGTCCTTCAAATGTCCGCTGGATGGCGGCACTTGTAGATGATGAATACATGATGAAAAGATGTGAGATGGCTGTACTTGGAGTGTTCACTAGATAGACGGACGGACTGACGGCTGCATAGACAGACAGAGGGGTGGACGCACGTATGTATGGACAGACATACAGAGGGATGGCCGCACGAACAGACACACGGACGGACGGATCAACAGACGGAAGAACGGACGTACGGACGGACGCATGGATGGACGCATGGAAGGACGAATGCACCGATGGTCACACGGATGAACGGACGCATGGATAGACGTATGGACGGAAGGAAGCAAGAATGAATGGGCGGACGAAAGCACGGATGGACGGATTGACGTTTGCCCCACCAATCATCATTCACTCCATGGGTACGCTGTGATTTTTTTTTTTTACTTTGCTCGGCACACGGGAACTGGCATGTGCATATGATCACGTCAGTAGGGAATGGGGCTAAAGCTGCGGCAAGCAGTCGCTTCATTTTGCGTATCCGCTATGCATGAATGTGCCTTAGTGAGCCAGGCTTATTTTGCAGCAGATGCGGGTTCAGTAGTTTTGTTTCGAATCTGAATGTCAGCTCCTAGTGTAAGAGCCGTAACTAGAGGGGGGCTGAGGGGGTTTTGACAGCTCCCGATTTTTCTCGATTTTTTAACTTTTCGGGTGATACTAAAGTATTTATCAACCACCAGTTGCCAAAGTTAGTCGTTCTACACAAAAACACCCCCCGAAAAAAATTCGTCGGTACGGCCCTGGCGCGTGTACCATCAGCACTACGTGGACAATATATGATGGTGTTTCGGCTTCGTCCACAGCGGACGCGGACTCAGTACCTACATTTTGACTTCCAGTAATCCATGCTCAATGTTACAAAAATCAAACACAGTGGAGGCCAATGAAGTTAAAAGCTTCGTCCGAGGTCTACATGTTGGCATGTAGACCTCGGACGAAGCTGGCTACTTTGCGATGAATGGTCGATCAGTTGCCAACCCCC